AGATGGTTAGAAAGTTAGTAAAATTAGTTTGTTAGCAGTTGAAATTTTTTCAGGAAAGTGAACGTTCCACCCCCTCATTTGAGACGCGCGACCATTAGGTAGTTTACGGTGGTGGCAGAGCTCGAAACCTTGACCTCCGCCTCATCCAAGCCCTAAAGTTTGGGGTCAACCAATTGGGCCACAGCCCCAGTTGGCAATACTATAGTTTTTTCTGTAAAAAAAAAAACTAAAAATTTACCAGAAATTACGTCTTCATTCTCAACAAAATTCATCCTTAACAACGTAAATTGGTGGAGGGGATGAAAAATAGGTCTCCTTTGTCGTTAGTGCTCTAGATAAAATGATAATGAGAAGTTCTGTTGGACGCACCAACATCATCACCAAAACGACGACGCGTTTCCACTTGCTGAGGCTTGCGGTGGGGCACCTCTCCCGCGCCACTCTCTGGCTCTGCAAGTCGTTGCTCTCCAAAACCCTAGGCGTCTTCTTTAACTTCTCCATGGACGACCTCTTCCTCTCCGACGACGATGACCGTCTACTCGACCTCTACACTCCCTACGGCCGCAAGCGCCCCCTGTCACCCCACTTCGACCACTTCGACTACGAGGACGACAGCAAGAAGCTCTACCTGGTTCCTTACCGGTACGTTTTGCTTTCTTTTCTTATGCTTTTTCCGCCTGCATTTTGTGCTAGGTATTGCTGTTTTGGCTTTTCGTATTTCCATTTTGACAAAAAAGAAAGAAAGAAAAGGGGAAAATCTTCTTGGTTGAAGTGGATATGACGCTTCAAAACACTACATGGAACGAATATCAGTGTTGGTTTGTCAATGTGAGCTTTTAAGAAGTAAAAATATCTTCAAAACCTTTTTACCCTTATTTGGTTGTGTGTGTTAGGTTATGTAATTGGAGATATTGGGATTTTGTATATGTTTAAACGTGAGAACATTTTGCCTGTGTTTGGATTGGTATGGTTAGTGAAGGCTGTTGCTTTTATGGATAGGATATGAAAATGGGCGCAAATTGAAATGGGGGAATGCAAGGAACGGGAAAACATCTCTGCTTATGCAGTGTTGTGTTTGCATTGGATTTCAGGTGGTGGAAGGAGGTACAAAGTGGCACTACTGAACAAATTGCAGGAGTTTCATACTCTGTATCATCAGATGATGAGTCTGAGTCGGAAATTGTGCTGAAACTGAGGAAGCAAGAGGTTTATGGGAAGATGATGAAGGTAGAAGAAGGGGTTTCAGGGCGTGAGTATGCACTAGTTCACGAAGCTTTATTTTCTTGGACACTTAAACGGTGAGGAAAGTTTATTCTAGTATTATTTATATATTTGTCTCTTCAAACATGATTTTTCTAAACATATGTGATAGGAAGCACCTGATGATATGGTGTGGGAACCCTTTAAGCTCTGTAGCCTTTATCATTAAAATGTAATTCATGAATCTTGATAAATATATTTTAGTATTGAAGAAAAACTTATGAGGTCATATGGTGAGTTGGTGACATTTCTATTTTCTTATAAACCATCCACTTTTTCCTTTGCCATCAATTTCATTTTCTTTAACTATTATCTATTTCCTCAGTGGTGCAAATACTTAAGGTGACACTTTATTGAGCATTATTACTTTTCCAAGCTTGTTTAGAATTTCCAATAACTTGCAATGTTTTTGTTATCTTCTCTGCTGTGTCATAGGTACAATGATTCTAAAACATTCATGAAGGAGGCTTGGAGCCTTTCTGTTGCAGCAGATTACTGGCAAGATTTGTTTACTTTGCTGATCAGGCTTTCCTTTTCACCAGAAGCAGATTCATTGGTAGTAAAGATTAGCTTAAAGGTCAGCACATTTTTTTAATAATAGCAATCTAGTTTATGGAGCCTGGAATTCTGTTTTGAAACTGGTTGTGGATGTCCTTTCTGACCTCTCTATTTAGTAAGATATTGTAACGTTGCTTATGGCCTAGCTGGATGGTTTAGTCTAGTATCTGATATGATAGGTGAAACCATGTCTAGATGCATGGATCCTTTAGTTCTCTATTAGAATCTCCAGAACTTTTGAAGCTAAACCATCTTGATGCTGGACCAGGGAGAAGAAGCCATAATGAGAGAGAAACAAAAAGGAGGGAAGGGAAAAAGAGGAATATAAAGAAAAAAGAGGGACAAGGGAAGAGAAGGGGAAGAGAATTAGTGCAAAAATAAAAAATTGAAAACATAGCGCAAGACAACCTACAGAGCAGAATATTGGATATTTATTTAAGAGTAAAAAATTTTGCTCCTAATCTAACCAGGTTTCTAATAAATAAAAGACATAATTTATCATAATTTAGGTCTCATTGGAATAGGAAACTAATACCCTAATAAGAACAGATGAGGTAATTAACCCTAAATGTTACAATTTATCAAAATTTGGAAGATTATGCAAAATGACAAGGATTATTCCTCCAAGGATTATCCTTCATAAGTCATGACAAATGCACGTTGATTGGCTCCTTCAGTCCTTTGTTGAATTTGATAAAACAAAAACGTCTTCGTGACAGGATGTATTAGAAATCAGCAAAGTTGGAATTGCACAGTAATAACTGGCTGTATTTGGCTTCTTTTTATTTATTTATTTATTAATCATTCTTTAACTGAAATTTTAATTTCTTGTGGCATGTTCTTTTTTATTTTTCATTTTTTGGTCCTGCTTGAATGACTGTTTTTGCATGTAATAAACTCTATTCCATAACTATAAAGTGGTTTTGTTTGGTTGGCAAAATTCATACCATATTGCTTTCTGTCTAAAACACTAGTAACTGAATTTTTCTTTATTTGCAAGTCTTATCATTTCCGATTTTACTTGCTGTATTTGATGTTAGAGTTGATTTTCAGGATAATTTGGGTGATCTTTTCAAGAGAGCTTGTTGCATTTTTAATACCAATTCTGAGCTAGTAAGTTTGTGGATGACTAATTAATATTTTATGTAGATATGATCCTGCATTTTGTACTCCCACTTTACTTTTGTTTTGCTATCCCCTTTCAGTTGTACATTTGGGACTTCTCAGGGCAGACTAACCTCTTTCTTTTGAATGAAAAAGTCAATTTGTGCAATGATTCCCCTCAACAGCCTGGAAATGAGGTAAAACTACATAAGCTGTTTTTATTGTTATTCTCACCAAGTGACCTCTTTGAATCCTGCTCTTTACTTGTCCCTATATACTCATATGTGTACATGTCTTGGACTCATTACATGTTTCTCTGCTGCTTGCAGATTCCCCTTGAATTGCATGTCCACGGATTTCCAGTTTCTAAAAAGGAGAGGAATGAGGAGAAAGAAGATTTGTCCAATTCCTTGCTATCTGATAGTAGCTACAGGGGAATTGGTTCATTGGGCTTGATTGGACTGCAGAATCTTGGAAATACTTGTTTCATGAACAGCGCAATACAGTGTTTGGTGCATACTCCACAGCTTGTTGATTTTTTCTTAGGAGACTACCAAAAAGATATAAATTACAAAAATCCATTGGGGATGAATGTATGGTATTACGTCTGGCTTTAGAAGCTTTCTATCTCTGTGCATGTTTTCTTCCCTCTCATAGTCTTTTGCTATGTTTGTAGGGTGAGCTTGCTTTAGCATTTGGAGAACTGTTAAGGAAGCTATGGGCTCCAGGAACAATTCCAGTAGCTCCAAGAAAGTTCAAGTTGAAACTTTCTAGTTTTGCTCCCCAGTTCAGTGGCTACAATCAACATGATTCCCAAGTTAGTGAAACTATTCTGCTTCAAAAAGAAAAGTATAGTATAGTGCCTTTCCTAAGAAAAAGAAAAAAAGAAAAAGAAAAAGAAAAAGAAAAAGAAAAAGAAGGAAAGTATAGTTTTAGTTTCTCCATTTCCTTTGTTAGTATGTATTGTATTATTGCATAACTCTTTAGCAAGTCAATACACAAATTGCAGTGATGTCCTGGTAAATAGTAAAGAAACCTGTCTATGGGTGAGATTGTGGAGGAATATTAATTCAAGGGCAACAAGAGGCTTTAAAAAGACAAATATGGAGCAAACATCTTATTATAAATTGCAGAATTTTGTGGGAATGTGATGCTATCTAGCTGGCACTTATTTAGTTCTGTTATTTTTTGTCTGTGAAGGGCATCATAATTTTCTAATATAATCTAGTGTTCAATAATATAGGAATTTCTTGCATTTTTGTTGGATGGCCTCCATGAGGATCTGAATCGTGTAAAAGGCAAGCCTTACACAGAAGTCAAGGATGCAGAGGGCTGTCTAGATGAGGAAGTAGCAGAGGAATATTGGCGAAATCACTTGGCTCGCAATAATTCCATAATAGTTGATGTCTGCCAAGTGAGTATAGCCATATACATGAAGATGTCTGTCAAGTTAATAGTAACTTATTTTTAGTTATGCATGGGTGTTGTTCATTTTTGCGATCTACTAGTGCATGTTTACTGTAGATTCCCACATCACTTCCAATGGGTTAAAGTTTTGTCTCTCTTCAATTTTTGAAGAGAACAATAAAAGAAAATTCCTATTGTACTTGCTCTTAACTGGTAACCTTGATTTCAACATTCTTGAGAGGGATTTAGTTCAGTTAATTGCTTGAAATCAGATTCAAGAAGTCAATTGCAATTTTTGGTAAAAGTTATGGAATATTGATGCCTTTATTCTTTTTTGGAGAAAAAAAAAAATAGAATTTGGTATGGATATGCTATCTGTTTTCATTTGCTTATCTGTCTTCTGAAAATAACATATCTGATGACATCCTTGATGTGAACTCAGTCGCAAACTGCTTTTCTTTCATTATATAGGGTCAGTACCGGTCAACGTTGGTGTGCCCTGATTGCAAGAAGTTGTCTGTTACATTTGATCCTTTCATGTACCTAACGCTACCATTGCCTTCAACAGTGATGCGTACAATGACTTTGAAAGTTATCAGTACTGATGGGATTATGTTGCCATCTGAATGTACTGTTATTGTTCCAAAGAGTGGGAAGTTGAATGATCTTATTGATGCTTTAAGTGTTCGATGTTCTTTAAGAAATGATGAAAACCTGCTACTAGCTGAGGTATGTTTGTAAGGCTATTTCTCTAATGTTGGAAGTCATTCCCTTTTCTTTTGTGGGTATAAATCTTTGGATTCAAGCTTTGGACCTTAAGCATCTGCTCTCGAGCATCTTAACTGGTTTGAAGGCACACATTGTACTTTCTTTGGAGTTCTAGCACTACAACTTGACAATGCTATTGTCTTATGGTTGTTGTCATTATGAAGGAATAGCAATGCCAAGAATAAAAATTATTGTCCTTTCTAGTTACTAGCTTTGTTGGTTTAATTTTATCCAAAATATATATATATATATATATTTCCAAAAAAAAAAAAAAAGAAAATATAATGGGTACCTAAGTTAATTTTATCAGCATTAGAATGTTTACTTATGGATGTTGAGTTTATTTACTGGTGTGCAGATATACAA